CAGAAATAAAATGTTCCCTGAAAAGAATGGCTCTTCAATCGCCTTAATATTCTAAATATGGCATATAACAGCATCTTAACATGATTCTGATTTGTACAATTCTTTGTAAATTTCATCCACGAATTCTTTCTTTCATTTTCCTCTTGTGTTCAGGTTTTCAACTCCACATCCTTGTTTATTTCATCGGAAAGTCCATAATAGGGAAAGGACGACCCATCTCATACACCCATTGACTGGAACTTCCAGCAAATTTCAAGGGTTGAGCAAAGCTCTGTTTGGTTTCTGCGGGTACCGTTTTGTAATGGGCAAAACGCTGGTGCTTATGTTCTTCACACATCATTTCGAAGGAAACGGATAGTACTGACAAGTGACTCAATAGGAAGTAATCGCAACACATGTTCGACAGCACCTGTACATATCTCGAGTTTAAGCAACCTTTATAAACAGAACCGCTCTCAGAGTGAACGGAAGTTTACTACGTGTTTCAGTTAATAGACCACACATTCAGGAGAGAAAACAAATTGCAAGGCAGAAACGAACCCCTATCCAGGATGTAATAATGGAACTCGATAACCATTCGCAGTTGTGAATATCTACATATTCGTGAAATGAAAATCGGATTTTAAAGGGGAACATGCCACTACATTAGGTGGGAGCAGGGGGAGGGGGCTGCAGCCCCCTCCAAAAATATCGAAATAAAAAAAAAACCGTCATCTAATGGTGAACGAGGTGGTCAGTTCTTATATACTTATGACGAAAAAAACATTTTCACAATGAAAAGAAATAACGGATCAAAAATTTTGCTCGCTTGCCCAAATTTAGAAACTGCATTCCTTATGACTTTGCGAGAGAAGTAAACCCCTATCCGTATTCCTATGGCAACGGGCTTGCACGTTTCATATTTTCTATCTTGAAGTTGGAAAAAAAGTTTGAATTTAGTTGACTGGTAGGAAATAGCTTTTGAACTTTCTTTACGTTCACACACCTTTTAAAGAGTATTAATCCCGCATTGGGTAAATTTTAGAACCGTCAAGTTTGGAATATTATTATCTGTCCAAAAAGGTCTAATATGAGTTTGAAATAGAGACGCTATTCATAATCATCTGTCTGAAAAAAGATTTCATGAAAAGTCCTCGGAACGAAATCAATACTTATATGATTGTGGCACATTTGCAATACCATTACAAGCTTTCGGCAGATATATTAGTCTGCTAATACAAAACCAAATGCATTACCAAAAAAATAACACCGTGTCAATTCAAACATTCCTTAATCTCTAATTTTCCGTTCTTCCGATCCACCTCTCACTACATCTCTCCTTCTCTCGCTCCTTTCTCTCATCAAGCTCAGCATCTAGCTCTTATGTCATAATATTATTGCTCTAATAGACCCTCCTTTGCTGTTTCTGTCACCATGGTATTTTGTTGCCTCTCCCTCACCCCCTTTTGCACTGTCTGTTTTCTTTCCGTCGATGGTAACTCTAAAGGCAGAGCGTCTAAACAAAATACAAACATAACAAATATATATATATATAGATAATGAGTATACTTTATTGTGCCATGCATCATTGTTGGGAAATTAAAAACAAAAATATACGTTTCATTCACCGGCACAGAAACAGAAAAATGCATATATTTGCGTGTGCATATTCATTATTTAGAAATAAAGTTACATAGTTGGTTTTGAATGTCTTCTTCAATATATATATTTATATATATATATATATATATATATATATATATATATATATATATATATATAAATATATATATGAAGAAGACATTCAAAACCAACTATGTAACTTTATTTCTAAATTTTCGCCCCCCCCCCTCCGTCAAGGATGAAATGCCATATAGGTGATCATAATTTTTACAAATATATATTTATATATATACATATATATATATTTAGAAATAAATTGATATGTATGTTATATACACATTATACACACAATTAAATATAACAATATGAATATTAAGTTACATAACAAATGTTTGCTTTCATGGTTTCAGTCGCAATTCAAATATAAATCAAACGGTAAAGGCTTGATTTGAAATTTACCGATATTTCACGAAAACTTACAGGTTTTGGGTAATTCCGTGTTATCTTATTTTGTATGCAAAATCTCAAAAATCATGTGAACAAACATGAATTAATTTGTTTGAGGGTATTCTTAAAGCATTATCGAATGAAATATAATAAGGTGAATCGGCGGTCTCTTGAAGTGATTACGATTTAAGAGAAAAATAAATTACGATTTTGGAGTATGTCGTAACATCTTTGTAGGACGCACGATCATATGTACATACGTTTCCAATTAATTCCACCCATGTGGAAGAAGAAGAAAAACAAATCGATGGTATCACTTGAAGAAAATCATTTTTTCATCGAGTATTTGTATAGTTGAAGGGATATTAATGTTGCCAAAATGTTTGTATCCCCACATGGAATCGCCGATCTAGAATCCAACACAGATGTATGCATTACATACGGTAAGTTAACTTGTCAAGATTCATTTGATATTGAATAACAATTACTATAAAGAATGGCAAGAATTAAGGAATGCCATTTCAGTACTTAGAGGAAGACGTTTCTTATTTCAACAAATTTTGTTGAATATAATACCGATGGGTAGCATGTGTCTGGACCGTTCTCCAGGTAGTAAGCAATAATAATGTGTAATAATCTATTTAATTCATATCTATTACACATATTACTTATCACTTAAATAATAACGAAATATATGCCATCTTTTTCACACCCTAAATTGAGTTTTTGTAATTAACCCTTGCTATGCTTTTGCTGAAGTTTGGCACAGACGTTTCACGTAAAATCTTTAGCCCACAGCACACTACACGACCCTACTGTGACGCGATTTTTGAAAAAAACTGCAATGTCGTTTATATATCGAAATTTAATCAAACAAGAATTATCTTTTTCTCTTATAATGTAGTTTGTAATCCCCAGAAGATCTTATTGGATCGACATATAAATATTCAGAACCACGGTCATTAAGAATGTACATGTTTGAGTGCTATTTCAAATACTACTGCGAATTCTTATAAAACCGGATCGCAGTCGGATCGCAGCGAGATATTGCTCAGCTGCAAGTTTCATGGTGCATAGATTAGATGAGAAACAATCAATTAACTTCAGTGTAATGTATTATTAATGATCTTGAAGAAAACTTTGAGTTCTGATGAAGATGGAATGTATGTGAGCTGTCGCATTCTTCTTATGTTAGTTCATATAAGACTATCTTGGAAGGAAGGTCCTCTGCTAATAACTGCTCTATATTTGAATTGATATTAAGATTTAGCTTGAATATTTGGGCCAAATTTTGTATGTGTAGTCCCATATAATCATTTCTGTGTGCAGTGCATGTGAGTTGCAACAAAATGTTGTAAGTTTCTTTTCGTTTTGATTACCGCAAAATCTCACAGTATAGCCAATATTTATGTACTTCATAATCAACATAATTTTACAATTCTGCTTCCAGATAGTATTAAATCGCGTTACCAGAACTCAACTTTGTCTTGAAGCCGAACTACATTATGTACGACATGTTTTATGTACGTAACTATAGACCTATACTCATCTAGTAGTAGATTTAAATGATTGTATACATAGCATGTATGATGGTGGAAAAAGAAAGACATGAAAAAAAATGTCACAAAGACATACTTAATTGAAATATTGCAAATACACGTGTATTCAGTTGTTTGTTAATATGCATATTATAACGTGCACATCTGTATATATTTACATACATTTACATGTATTTACAGTAGTTGGTAAACTTAACATAAGCTATAAAGTGGAACATTTCATTTATTCTTCGTAAAAAAATGTTGTAATTTGATCGTTGAGATTATCCATATTTTACCTCATTTACATTTGTCTTTTTTACAATTTTTAACTTTCACTTCAAATATTGAGACTGCATAAAAATCAACATGCTTTCGAAGGTCGAAATAAAAGAGGGCATGAATCTCTATGCACGAACTCCTTTCATAATCACACGACATGTGGTAGACGTGCGATCACCCCACGAATTCACCATTCCCCTGACGTACTTCTCTTACACAGGCTTGTGTGTGAGCGAGCGCTCACGTCCGGTGGCACCTTCGAGAGTTCGACGGTACTTTAAAAAAAAATGGTAGAAGGCCCGAATACAGTTTTACAGACTAAAAAGGTGAAGGGGTTAAGAAAATGGATTTGAGCCAGTGTTCGAGACGCTTGATCTGCCATCAGTTAATTCTCAAGAATGTCAGCTGTCTATCTCTTTATAATATGATCATGGGTCTTTTTTCATTCGGGTTTCGATTGATCGAGACAAGCACGTCTGATCAAGGCTCGTAAAAATCATGGTCTGAAACCGTCTGATAAAGACTGTTCAGTGATTAATCCCAAGATGACAAGTTCTCGAGTTTTATTCATTGAATAGTCACTACGTAACATATAGCATGTTGCATGAAAGAGGCTTTGATGGGTAGATTTTGCAATTGCCTTGCGCTTCCATGTTAAAGCCCTGCTAAATTTCCATTCAGCGTGTTTATTTTATTACCCATAATGCACATTTCCATATCATGCCCCTTTCAGCTATTTTGTAGCTCACCCGAAGTTTAATGAAGCATTTTTAGATAAGAAAGACGTAAAATGCAGATGTGCATCAATGTTATAGTCCCTCTGAAGTCAGATTCAGCGTGTTCTTTGAGTGACCTATTAATTTCAGAGCTTTTCTTATCCGATGTTGTCAGCCGTTTTATAGTTCCTCTAAAAATTCCATAACGCAAATTGCCTGAATCACTTAAGATACAATATTTTGGTGTAGTTATGCATTTTTATGGTGCACTCTTGTTCTAGTCCCCCTGTAGACCAGAATCTTGCTGGTTCTTCGTATCCCCTACAATTGAATCAAGTCGCCGAAGATGGCGATATCAACGAACTCATATAACCTCACCAGCCAAGCCATGCGGGCGTCCTAATTTAATGATCACGCCATCTTCGGCTGGCAGCAAGTTAGTAGGGGGAGGTCGCGTTGGTGAGGTGGAAGTCAAAAATTAAATAGCCCAGATTCTGGACTAGTCCCTCTGTAGTTCCTTTCGGGTCATTAGTGAATGATCTTAGACCAGATCTGCCATTTTGTAGCACTTCTCTAAAGTTCCATAGCGCATGTTGTTAGAATGATCGCACGTCTTCGTACATGTCGTTTTCGTCGATGTCGTAGCCCCTCTGAACGGTACGGAAGTCTACGGGATGGAGGATGAGAATGACAATGCGGCCTGCCTTCTTGATCATCTCCCATACCTATCAATGGAAGAGGGAAATAGTTAACAATCTTACATCATCAGGTCACAGGATGGCTTTGTTATGCCCCCCCCCCCTGGCGCTCAAGGAGGGGTGCAATTTTTAAAATTTTCGAGGGCCACACAAAAAAATTAGTGCTCACTATCCCTAAAGACACTGATTGCAGTTGTAAAAGTTTCCAGGGAATTGTTATAGATGGCTACATTTCAGTGATTTTATCGATGCCATTTCAATGTTTGGTGATTTTTGTAAATGTTTTATTTACTATTAAATTTTATAGAATCATGAACGCAAAAAATTAATGTCATCAGAAAGGTATTCAGTTCACTACTGTAAAATTATTTTCAGAACGGCAACGAATGAATGAACGACCCAATGTGTGATATGAAATTCTTTTCCTAGAATTCTAGAAACGTATCCTCATGATGGGAAACTATATGGTAAGCCAAAGATTTTATCTTAAGCATGTAAATATTTGTCTTGAGCTTAAGCTTCACTGGTGGTCGAATTTACAGCATGATGATACTAAAGATTTTAATGATAATGATAATAATAATAAAAATGGTTGATTCTTATTGACTCAGGGCAGCCACGTCGAAATTAATACTGTTCTGCCTGCATGGGGGCACCACAATTATCACTATCCCACCAATTGCCAGGTACCAGTTGGAGAGACAAGAGTGGCAAATGTGGATTAATGTCTTGTCACCAGAAATAACACCCCAGTATTCCTGTCATCCTTATGACCCTCCGCTTCTGTCAGATCTGCCTACCTGTTCTGTAGATGCATTGGGTTGGACGCAGTCAAAGTTGACCTCAGTGATGACGTAGTTGCATCTCAAGCCTGCACTGTTCAGACAAGTGGTATCGTTTGACTGTAGAGATCCTCTGCGATGAGCCAGACCTTCTGGATATACCCGCTCAATCTGAAATGAGGATTTTTTTTTTACATCAAATGTTGGTAAATTTCTCTGAGGACTTTCTGCAGGGGTATCATGATTCACGACTTACGTCGGTGAAATTCTAAAAATTGTGACTAAATTTTTTCTCTGCAGACCAGCCTTGCCTGTAGGAAATTGGTTGTTGCTTTGAATGTTTAAAATGAAGGCACTTACAAAAATGATTCAGGAAATGGTACCCCTTTGACAGTTAATAGCATTTTGTTTCCGATGCGTAAAAGAACACACACCAAATTTGAAATCATGAGATGGGAGGAGGTATACGGGAGTTGGAGGGATGCTAGATGAACTAGGTATTTATTTTATTTGGCCTAATGTTTCAGCCAACAGACGCAATATAGTCCTGCCTTATCTTACCTCGTTTCCGTGGAGTTTCAACCCTATGTCGTCAACATTATCTGAATTCCATTGGAAGTCACAGATTGTTCCAAACGGGATTCTCTTTAGCGTGATCTCGATCTGAAAAAGAGAAAACATTAGAACGTTTTGTTACATTAGACTTTATATCATTCCGCCCTTGGAAGGGCATCCATCCGCAAGTTACCTTCACCGAGTTCTGCTTAGACTTTCGATTTTTTTTTCTTCTTCGATTCCATGTTTTTTTGTTTGTCTTTTAGGTCATCGATTCGCAAGTTTCCTTCACCGAGTTCTTCTTAGACTTCTGATTTTGTTCGATTCCATGTTGTATTTGTGTCTTTTAGGTCATTTTCTTTATGCAATGTATATGAAGTTCGATTCATAAAATGTAGGATTCTTGCACGATTATTACATGAAATTCATTCATTAACATTACAAAATTGCATAACAATCCTGCCGGAAATTAGTGTCACCAAATTCATTCAAAGATAAGGCAAATGAGTCAGTATCATTTTCTCAGACGTCCTTCAACCAAGATTCAACGTGCTGACGAATGATCTAACTGATGTATTAATATGAAATATTGCATTTATATTTGTTCTCATCCTTAATAAATGTTGAATGATTTAGCATAATATATTACCTCCGGTTTGTCTGACATTCGAACACAGTCTCGGGCAAAGTGGACGTTTTTCAGCATATTATCATTGACCTTCAACCACTGGTCACCTACCCGGAAGTAATCCTTGAGTTCGCAAGGAACATCCGTAACTCTGTGATGGGTGAAGAAAAAAGGAATAATAAATTTCAGTTAAAAGACGAAGAAGCAAAGTTCTGTTAAAAGAAACGACAAGAGATAAAACTGAAAGGGGAGGGGGGAATAAAGCAAGAATAGGAAGAAAGACAAACTGAAAATTAGACCCCCACCTACAACCAGCCACCCTCCGCCCCCCCCCCAAAAAAAAAAAAAAAAAAAATATATATATATATATATATATATAATAATAATAAAGGTACTTACAAAATACTGTCTCTGGTTTCATTCAGCATAGACAAGTACCGAACGATGATAGTTTTGGCGATACGTACTGTTGCTGTTCCTGATAGCTTCTCCCCTTTAAGTTTCCTATAATAAAAAAATAAGATGAAACTAGATGAGTAATTTATTTGGAACCTCCAATGTAAATAAGCCAGTTAGATTCCAATCGTTGTTATATTTTCCGTTAATGCACAACATACGAAATACATTGTTCGGGTTTTATATTAATTGATGGTAAAGTTGATTAAGTTCATGAGAAGAAATATTGCGCACTGCATGTACAACATAAACTTTCGAACGAAGTAGTGGGAATGCAAAATGCCTTTTTTAAAATTTATTTGTAAAATAATCTCGAATTATATATGTGGAAAAATAATGAAACACCATTATTATTTCAATTCCATTCTAATCGGAAGTAACGAAGTATCTCCAAGGCTTTAGACCTCACATATCTAACACATTCACGATGTATGCCTTATCGATATCCTGCAAAATATAGTTTTAAAAATAGTAACTGTACATAATAACTAATTCCATTATATATCCGTATTATTTCTAGAAATCGACTTATCAGCTGCTTTGTATCAGAAATACATTTTCCATGTAAATTGTGAAGAAACTAACTTTATCTCCTTTGGCTCTTACTTGCATTGCGTTTCAATCTTCATGGCTGGACTTTTCTCAGGTAGCTTTGGAGGGACGAACCTAGGCGATAAAGACGGCACACTTAATTTACGCGGAGGGACATGTGGTTTGGCGTCATTCCGTACAGAGGCTGATCGTTGCGGTGTTGTACGTGTGGTCATCTGAATGACGGACGAATTTTCATAGATCTGTTCAACCTCGGGTTCAACCAGGCACAAGCCAGCCTTGGGTTCCAATGTTTTTGAGCTTGGGGGGTTTCTGAATTCGGGCTCTGAATCATCAGTCGATGCAGGACTGGATGGCCAACTACTCTCTGTTGGTTCTTTACAGCTGTGTAGACTATGAGGAGCTGACATGGCCGAAGCACCACATTCGGACTCTTCGGACGAAGTACTACAGCCAGAGAGACGGTTATCACTTTCCGGCAAGGGATCCCTGCGAAAATCTGGAGTCTCGTACTCGTTCTCATGCTTTTCCTGAAAGACAAATTCGATAAGACCATTGTTCATATTGTGATTTTGTTACCTTTACCGTGGGTCCTCAAACATTTGTTCATGGAACTTGAATATTCTTGTTTTAAAATGCCTTTGCTGTCTACAATGTTTCAGATTTGATGGCGTGTTTCCACATGGGACCCTGTCTTTAATATAAAGAGGTGATATTAAGCGCAACTTATTTGTGATTGATATCAATCGCAATTATGTTCATGAGAGATTGCAAACTTGCTATTGATTGGAGAACTTGCGAATGATTTGGATCGAGCGTAACTCTTTATAAAACGGGACCCATGAGATCACACACTGTACGATCAGCACAATGCAATTCACATGATTACATTAAACTTTATCCAATTCCAAAAAATATGTCAATTTAGACATCGTCTAAGACACAATTTCGTTTTCCAATCCGTTCCTTACCCGCAAGAAGGCCGTATCAATAACATATTGTAAATGGCAACGGCCTTATTGCGGGTAGCCGACGATTTATTAACCCCTTATTAGTTTACTGGCATATGCAATATTTCTCCGTTGGTGAACGGCCCACAAATCTCATCAAGAGTTTTGACAATATAACGAATAAGGTACTGACCTGAAGCACTACCGTCTGATGAAAATCTTCGTACAGTTCTTGTGTCTTTTTGAGGGCCTGCTTGTGCTTGGATGTTCGCTGCTGTCTATGCCAATTCTTCGGATTAGGAACACGAGGAACGTTCTCGTATGTATCTTCCTGGCGGGCTGTGTGTGGAGTAATGAAAGTGACCAAATGATAAATGGATATTGCTATTATTACGCGCTATAGCAATGTTAACAAAAACATTATTTGAAAACTACACGACTTGATTTAGAGATCAGAGTCATTTTCTTTGTTGTTTTGGCTACATAACCATCTACTGGTGAAACATACCAGATGTCCATGTATTTATTTGGACCTACGCGCGACACCGGCTCATTTATCATATTAATAATTATTGTTTCTTAAAAGCGCTTTAAGAGTTACATCAACCAATTTAGCGCTGAAAGTAATATTATTACCCTGGTCACTGGATTAATATTATATTCAGTAGATTATAGTACACATTCTCCACTGTCTGGGGAGCAGACTTTTCTAATCACATTGACCTTCGCATCCTTCCGGGTACCCAATAAGAACCCCGGTAAAGAGGAGCAATCTAAATACAATATATTGCGCTTAAAGACAAAAGTGGCGAGTCAGGGCTCGATCTACGACCTTTGCATTCCCAGTCAAGTGAATGAACCACTCGACTTCGACACATCGATATCACTGAATTCGTGCACCATGCATATTATTTGAGGTATTTACCGGGGTGTGACGTCCAGGCCTCCAAGTGAGGACGTCCACGGCAGACTGGGTTCTCGTCAGTCTCCTTGATAGATTCTGGTGGATTGACCCTCTTCTATAAGATATAATTAAAGAGAAACTATACACTAAGCCGATTTCGCTAACAACAACCAAAAATGTCAATTAAATCAATAGATAAATAGTGGAATAAAATAGAGATACAAGAAAATGAATACCTATCTTATTTTTAAAGGATCGGGAAGAGCAGGAAGCTACATGACAGACATGTGCGCTATATAAGAAGCCACCATTATTATTATTATTATTACATGTACATTTCGTTGTTTTTCTTAATCAAAGGTTTTTTGTTTATTGCAGGCGATAGCTCAAAGAGACAAATACATTACATTTCAGACATGCCCTCACTTTCCATGACAGAAGAAAGCTTTATCTATAACAGTCGACGTTTAATTCAACAACGGGACTAACCTTAACGACTTTGTCTAGCTCATCGTGAAAAATCCCTTGTACGTTGCCAGGGGCAGTGATGGCGGCTCCTTTCCGAGTCCGAGACACGGCCGATCTATTGGAGGTAGCATCTGTCCGTGTTCTCTCTCGATAGGGCTGCGATGGCTGTTGATTGGGTGTGGTTCTTCTGGATATCAAGGCCTGTAGTTGGCTGCACCACTCATCCCTCTGATCTCTGCGTTAAATCAGTAGAACGGTTGGGGAAAATTTTCCGTTATGACATTCTCAGTCTCGAACACATCGGATATCCATGGTGCGAATGACGATTGATTTCTTTATTCTATTCATTAATTCATTATTGGGTGTTTATCCTTCTTCTTAAACAAGTTTTGTTTTAAACACCCTTTAAGGAAATCAATAACTAATTGCTCTGCCACCGTGACAATCACTTATACTACTGTAACTTCTCATATCACTAGTCATACTTTTCAAACAAATCTTTTTTCTTTTTAAAATCAGAATTGCTGCTGCAAGTGCTAGATTGTTTAAAAAAAAGTATACTTCTTCTGTTTACTGCTCTGAACCATATATATCTTATCAATTTAGCCTTTTTACTGATTTTTCTTTTGCTCACCTTGTATATGTGCGTAGATATGTAGGTTTAGCCCCGCTACCACTACCGGTGATGCAGATATAGTTGTCGTACTTTGCCTTGACGATCTTCGGGACAATGTCACGCTCTTGCACGGCTGCGAAGGACTTCACTTTGACGATAGAAGTTGGTTCTTCGGATCCATCGGTGAATATTTGAATCTCTGGACGCTCCCCGATGTCACGTGGAACTAGCTTGCACATCACCAGTTGTTCTTTGTCCTGTAATGTGCATATATTATCCATTTGATGTGTGCTTTAATCATCATCACCACACACATTTTATCGATATCATTTTTTCAATAGTGATTTTTAAAAATACGAAAGGTTTGTTGTGTTTATGTCTTCAATCATTAAACAAAGGATAGCTGACAATTTCGACCATTCTAAGTTTTACAACTTATTTTTATTTGACTATTAAAAGTCACGTCAATCACCTGATATATTGTAAACTATCACATATACGTTTACAATTAAAGGACGTAGCGAAAGGAATGTTTCTTCAATCAAATCATATTAATATTGATTTTGATGATTCATTTTGAAGAAAGTGTAGTGAACGAAATAGTATATCAACAAGATTTAAATCTCACATTCTTGGTAGTGTTTACTTGAAATTCAGGCACCAGTTTTCTCGATACCGTCATAAGTCTAAATTCGTTGACATCACATAGAAGAGCGTGATAATTCTATATTACACGTTTTAATGGAATGTCCAAGAAGTAAAGACTTATGAACGTTTCGAGAAACAGCCCCCAGTATGCTACAATAAAACCTCCATAACTCGACATGTCTTTTTTTCGAAAAATAATCCTACTAATTTTGTTAACTTTGTGTTAAAACAAGGAACAGATAATTTTCATCTGATTCGGATCAAAGTTAGCTTATAAACTCCAGTTTTCTTTTAGGGTATCAATATATTTAGCTTTATTTGATGTGAAAAGAAAATGCAATGATTTATTCTATTTGACGACGCCTGGACATCTCTTACCGTTCGCTTGAGGAACCCTGCCTTGTGCAAAAACATAGGAGTTTCTGTTGTCCCAGACATGGTTCTGAAAGATAAAACATTTCGATACTACTTCAATATCTGCAATTATTAAACTATCTGGCAGAATATAATCCATTTCTGTTTACATAAAAAGTGTCTTGATATAGAGAACATTCCATGTATTTAATTTGTTCGACGTTCCATAAAGTCGTCCCTACCTCCAAGAAGGCCGTAACAGTTATGTTTGTCAATGGCATTAACGGTATGATTGCAGGTAGCCGACGAGGTATCAGTACCAAACCAGTCGATTCTAAAATTTTGAAATATGTTTGAGTTCAGGCGTTTCATTCTATTGCTTCGAGAAAAAAAAGGAAATGATGTAGTATTACACCACGGTGACATCATACTCTTACAAATGGCCACGGGTCTCAGGAAACAATACAATACTGCTTTTTAATGGGAATACTTCTGTTTTTTACAAATTATATTATGATGATGATAATGATGATAACAATAATAATAATAATAATAATGATAATCATGAGACTTGTAAGCGCTCAAGGCGCACTATTTCAAAAAGATGAAATAGCATCTGTATAATTAACTAAAGAGCAACTTGAATAAGATAGAACAAACAAAACTGACAGAGAACAATACATTTTTTATGCCGAATTAAACAAATGCGTTTTAAGATTAATTATAAATACTTCACCTGATCTGCTATTACGAATCTCTGAAGACATGAGCAAAGGTCCCAAATATTCAGCTTAGAAAGAACAAGTAATCCGCATTTAAGAGAGCGTAAATATGTAGACGAAATGTAATGATTTATAAAAACACGGTTTTTGTCATTCATTAATTTTTATAAATCTAATGTTGTCATTGTCATCATTGCATCATGAGTTCAAAGGATAAGTCATTGCTTTTCTATTCCTTATGGCAACCTGATGTGAATATGGGAAATACAGGTGACAATAAACTCGTCCTAACATAGACATTCTGTTTGTAAGAGATGAGGGGGATTCTAAATCTTTATATTCCGTGAATCTAGATTCCTACCATATGGTCACCGTGAAGGCTTATGGCAGTTACTAACACAAACTTAAGGCTTTTGTCATCCTACCAAGTCCCCGTTTCTTTCCCGGGTATGGAGTGGCAAATATAGATTAATGCCTTGCTAAAGAACATTATATCAACAACTTCTGAACTAGATCAGAGTATTTCCTAACCAATGACACTCATGTATCTTGCATGGTGTCCATTCCATTTTATGATCGGTTAAGGATGCAAAGTTGCAAGTGTTAGCATTCACATTTGATAAACAGATATTGATGAATATGCATGTCCATATAGATAAAATCAACACACAATAAAATTACAAAACCAGATGACATCGTCATTTCTGACAAATTTCCATTGACCGGAATAAGCCCTATGAGCGAAACTTTGTTAGACCTTTACATTGTCAACCGCGTGTTTTTTTTTTTAATTCTGCGGTGAGTCTCTTTAGACTTTACTCCGTCGCAGAATATGTTTGTCTTATATATATATATATTCTCATCGTATCGTATTGGGTAATCATTATTGCACAATCAAAGATAAACACCCCGCGTTATTTCAGTTGTTTGAATAGTACTCAAACAATCTGAGAGCTAATGAGGCGAGGAATGTCAAACCTTGTTCGTTGTAATTAATGAAAACGTGAACTGAAATGTCCCCCAAAATTCAGTTGTGTGATGTTTACATTATCATTCATTCAGCATTGTTCGTTCGGATGTTCAAGTGGGAAAATAGCTCATGTCATGGGACTCTATCAAGTCTATTGACTCAAACTTATATTTGTAAAAGGTACCGCTCCGGGACATTTTTCAGAAAAAAGGAAGAAAGAGATTTGGGGGCCATAAAAGGGGAAACAACTGGTGTAAAGGTGTACAATACTGATGACTAAGTCTAATGTATTATGATACTATCATATGATTGATAGCAAAACCGTATAGCATTAATCAAAGTAAATATTATAAAAGAAAATGATATTTCAATCGTACTTTACTTTTCAATCTATTACACTTAGAAACATAAGGGATTCAAAATTATCAGCCACCCTAGACTTGCACATGATTGTTGATATCATAATCGCATTGCTAATTCTAATAGAAGCTTTGGTAAAGCTCCCCCCCCCCCTAAAAGGTATAAAGTGAACATGCAAGTTCGTTTGTAAACATTATTGACCCAATATTGAGTGTAATGTAGATTGGTTAGAATTTATCCAATAATTGATTAAGTTGTACCAGTTTTTAGTGTATTATACTGCGCCTCCTTTTACATGTCGTTCGTGCCAAACAGTCACAGAAAAATCAATTCTTAAACGAAGAGGAACCATAGACTATTTTTAACAAAAGAGGAAATGTTTCATATCGTATATTTAGAAAACAATTTTTTGGTCAAAATTAGAAAACCATCTTATTATTGAAGCTTAATCAATCACATCCCATTTCATTACAGACATCTGTACATAATCCGAAGCAACGTAATAAATGTGCTATTGCAATTCAATTATGAACTCTGATCCCATCACCTGTCATGCAAATTTCAGCTAAAAGTGCCAGTATTTATTGAATGAAGATGCCTTTACAAATACATGTTTACTTAGAACACTCTGTAGAGGATCCACATGTCAAGTAATCAAAACACTCTGTTGATCAATTTTGAAGAAAAAAAGTTAAAGATGAATGATGAAATTGATTTACAATTTTGTGTTTTGTTTTGTTCCAATTTTGAATTTGGTTTTTATACATTCAAAAGCTTTCAAACTGAGTTTATTATAAACAATGTATATTTTCATGACAAAACAAACATCCCTAGATGTATATTGCATCATGATTCCCGGTACTCGTTATAATGATCATCAAAACTTCATTATCCTCAAAACAATGATATCAATAGTTACCCAAGCTTGTGGGCTACAGCACTGGAAATACCCAAACAAAAGATCATTAGTTTTCTGTCGTTAACTGTTATTTCAAGATATCAGAAGATATCAGAAGTTTCACAAGGTAATTGTCTGTCGGTCAATTTCCTGTTGATCTCACGATATGGCACACAAAGCTGCTACTTTAGTTTTTTCTACGGTGATTTAAGTAGTTTTTTTTTGTTCCTATGGAAGAGCTTCAGGAAACTAAACTCATTCTCCCACGCACTCTTCTCATATAATTGGGACTAACAAGTACAAACGTTGTTTTATATCCTTAGTGTAAATTATCGATGATAGTTTGCTTTAAAAAGTCGTTCATTATCCTAAACTATATAATACATTTTTTGGTTAAATAATCTCCAACTCACGATTGAAGGCTTTTGGTATATGCGGTAGCCTACCTGAATAGGCTGTTGATATATTCGTCAACGAACCCGCTTATGGGGCATTTGAGAGCAGTTAAGCATGAGAAAGGGTATTAAAGAAAGAGAAAGAAAGGAAATATATGATAATAGAATTTGTATTTGTACACCAAAACGAGGTAAAGAGGAAAACAGGAATCGGAAAAGAAAAGAAGGGGTGATAGGAAGGCTGCCACATAGTGTTGACTTGTTCAACATGACAAGATTTTAAAGCGAAATTGCTGTCATATGAGATGACTATTAATGCAGATGGTTCTGCAAATTTATCTGATAAATTTTTACAAAGATACTTTTGATTTTGGACTCGTATATAGAGCTCGTTAAGATCGAGGGTGCTAAAAGTTTGATTGTCTGATAAAAGATTCCCACGTTATAAAGTAGTTTTGATTTCGATTCTTTTGTTTCGTAAACGTCAGGCGTGTCATCTAAAGCTATTACGCGAGCAGTCATGATTTTCATTTGTCGAAAGAAATCGTTAACACATTAAAAAAATATCACAACAACCATTATGAAATATTATTCTTTACTTAATATTCTGTCAATGATTGAGTGAAGTTGTGATATTATGATGATATCACAACAATGTAAAATATTTGGGATTCGGGCGTATTTCTTTCATTTGATTCACTTAATGTTTGAGTTAATTATAGCCACCCCTTCCTTTGCATATGCCTTGTGATAACGATACATTC